GGTTTAGAAGAGAAATCAAACTCTTGGGAAAGACTAGGGGAAAAAATAAGCTATGTTTTTTGGTACCTTCGAAAGGGTGCTTTGCTGTACCATCGGAGGGACTGGAATATGAGTTGTCGCATTGAAGATCCGACTGGGTGTCTAAAAACGCCAAATAAGTAGCCGGTAGAGTACAGACAAATTAACTTTTGTGCCTAATAAAAAGGAATCCTTGGAAAAATCTATTTTCCCAATTGGAAAAAGGCAATAAATCCCAATCAGAGCAATTTCCAGAAGCAATAAAGATCAAGTGGAAAAAATGTGCAGATCAAGAAGAGTCTGGCTCGGAACACGTGGTTACCGTAAAGTTAAGCCATACCAAATGGTTAAAGGAGGGCACGATTCGATAATGCAAAGCAACAATGAATGAAAAATAAATTGAAGGTACTGCGTAAATGGAATTAATGAACGTAAACTTCAAAATATTAGTAGCAGGGAGCACATTTCTTCAAGTGTCATGTTACCAATATAGTGGTGAACATGTCCAACAAACTATCAGATATGTCTTATGATAAAGTGAAAATATTTCTTTGAGTCAACGTTCCCGTTGCATTGGTGTCGTTAGTTAAAAAAGGCAAGCAACACTGATGCTAACAATGGCAACATATTTACCAATACGCCTCATTATAAACATATGCAGCTAAAGCATTCCAACAAAATGCTACTACAAAGGAGCTAGTTATGAAAGTATGTGAAATATTATCATAGGTATAACGCCTGGCCGAAACAGTGAATTACTTTTAACGAGGATGTTCAGTGTAAAAGTCGCTCGGGTCAATGAAAATTTACCGGTAAAAAGTCACCTTTTAGCACTAGTATAATAACATAAGAAGAACAAAAGTAACCGGTTCTAATGCACCTATAACTGGCAACAGACTTGGAGGATTGGCACTCATCCTACACAAAGACGGGCCTCTTGGATCTCAGTTTCACGACAACTTTCATACCGCCTCATGCAAAGAAAACCGGTGAACAATAGTTCTTCACAATTTCAGGCGTAAAAATGAAAAGTAGCGTCCATCAAATTTATGTATCAACTAAAGGTTCTTTTAGAGTGACCGCTCCTCTGCGTAAAAGGTATACTATCGATGGAGGTAAGTGTAGTATTACTAGTCTAATCCGTTGCCCAAAAGTAAGTTACTGTATGAGGCAGAAAATCGAGCATCGACACAACGAATACTTTATGTAGTGGTGACGATTTATTAAAAGAGCCAATGGCTTGGTCCAACAAAAAGTGAAAGGTTTGGTACGCGTACTACGGATACGGCGAACCTGAGTCGCAATTGACTCTCCATAAGGTACCCTCATCTTTCAAATGGAAAATATCGGAAAACGTTTCCCTACACGATCCGGTGGTTGTTTTATTGACTTCACTAAGTCAGTTTACATGAAAATGCAGAGTTTAAAAAATATAAATATAACACTGTAACTCAATCTCGAAATTTGATATTAATATCAATCTCAATCTTTTATTAACAAAGTACACATTTCTTACGCGGCTGACATTCCTCGGCTAGCCGCAAAAAGATACATGGCAGATGGAAGGGCTGCATATGTAAATAGCATTTTCCTATATAGAGAAGGGGGAGGAAAGAAGTGGAAGCGTATCCAGCCAACAATTTCCGGCCAAATGGAAAATTACTATGGCTGGAAAGTGGATGTATTTAGCGATGGAATGAAAAACCAGTCAGAAAGCTCTAAACTTTCTGGCGCCTGTAGACTATATGCTTCCTAGTTTCCCCATGATATGCGTAATGGCCAGAGCGTTTTTTACGTTTATGCAAGAGCACTGAGCAGTTGGATAATATTTTATACTCCGAGTGGGTGAGCAGGCTGTCCTGATCGGATCAATGAACGGTGTGCATGTCTGCGTGGCTGCCTATGAAATTACACTGACTGCAGTCAGTGTCCTCGTTCAGGAAAGTTTCCGTCGTAAATAAACTACTAAAGGAGCGTATGTGACTGGAACATCAAGGCCTTTAACGAGGCCTTGCCAGACGAAGTTTTTTTCTCCGGTGGGAGCACTGCCATCAAGATAGGAAAATGTTATTAGCGAACCCATAATTTCTCAAAACGGGTTTTATAAGGGCTAAAACCGGACTTTTTTCAAAAAGACAACTAAATGTTCGGGTTTATAATCATCAAGTGTATGAAGAGATTCATCTGTGAGCGAGGTCTACTAACGTTTTGGTAAATTTAGCTTGAAAATTATTACAACCACGAACTTAGTTACAGAGATACAATTAGCAAGCAATCACGGTGAAACTAATTAGCGCTGTAGGGGAGAAAGCATATCGAACACAAAAATACAACAATGCGCCAAAAAGTCCAATAGTTACACGGTATTACTGACCGGAAAATTGTAAAATACACGAGCTACTTTGTTTTGGTGCTGGATATTACTGTGCGAAAAAACAAACCACTTCAATTTTTCGCATCCCCAAACTTCGGTTTTTAGGTAGAGGTCCAAAGTAAGTATTCAGGGGTTATGTAGCTAAAAGAGCTGAAAAAATGTATATCCAATTGCAACGTTAATCGGAAACGGGAATATCCAGCGTGAATAGGAGAGAATACGGGAAATCCAGATTCTTGTTCCAAAAAGATGGACGCACAATCACTGGGACAGGCCGGTATTTGTCTGAGCTATTGATTTCGTACATAACAATACTGCCTTCCTTAGCTTGAGTTTCGACCCGTGAACTCCTAAGTAATAAGGCAATTTTCTGTGAGGCTCTTCGAGGGTGTCCGGCTACGACTACCTATGGGTAGAAGAAGCTAAGAAGACTAACCGCTAATAGTTACACCCCGAAATTAATATATAGTCTAGGACGATGGAACTGCGCGTCATCATGGCCAGTCTGTCTAAGTAAAAACGAACACCCAGTTGCTCATCTGCATCTTTCAGATTGGACATATATACTCGGAATTCATTGCACCCCAAAGGTTAGATAAATATAATTCTTCTCGGATTTGTTGAATAAATTTTCTTTCTAGGTGCTGTGATCGAGATACCGTCCTCACGGTTTTGTGTACACGTTTCAGGCTGAACACTATTGGAAAATCT